CCCCCCCCCCCATGCTTTACATAGAAAAAGGCCGGGACAACATTTGAGAAAAAAAAGTACAATTTATGAAACATGGTAACAATAAATAGTATTATAGAATTGCAGCTGTACACAAAAAGCAGTTTTTTCCCCCAATTCACTCATATAAAAATATGTTTTAGTGCAACCGTACATCATAGTAATATCAAGAACTTCACATCAACTTTTAAGGTGTCGGAAAAAAAAGGGAAACAAAACAAAAAAAATAAAAATAAAAGGGGAAAGGAGGGAGGTTGCATTTCTTACAAAGCTGATGGTATTTACAGAGAATGAAAGGCCCAAAGAGCAGAAGAATGAAAGAAAAGGCACACATGTTTGTTTCATGTACCGCTGGATGAGAGCTTTGCGAGCACGTTTTGGTCAGGCGTGTGTGCATGTGTCAGCTCTATAACGTCATTAAATAACAGAGTCTCTGGTAGTTGGCTGCAGGTGGGACGGGCACGCTGTGCACCTGAAAACACCAGAATCCYCCCCTGGGAGTGGGAGGAAGTGGGTTTAAAGCGTGCAGAAGTCTCAGCGTCGCTCCCGTGTTGCACGTTTTCCCTTCGACACGACAGGTTCGCCGTGTTCTACGACGCCTCCTTTTTTCTCTTTGTGCTTTCCGGCGCYGGGTCGTTCTCCGGCTTGATGCACGTCGGAGGGCGGCAGGAGTCCGATCCCGGGCTGTGGGGGTGAGGAGAGGGGGAGGAGGGGGAGGAGTGAGGGGAGGTCGGGTGGGGAGGCCTGAGCTCCAGGCCGCTAAAGTGCTGAGTCCCAGGAGGCTGAGGAGGAGACGAGGAGGGGCGAGGAGGGGTCGACGTGGAGTCGGAGTACGACGCCGGGGGTGAGGAAGAGGAGGGAGGAGCTCGGGCTCGGTCTCTCCCGCCCCCCACTCTGCTCTCCGCAGACTCCTCGGAGTTGATGCAGAGGGAGGCGATGGCCTTGGTGCAGGTGTGGACGGTCTCCTCCTGCCTCCCCTCCCTCTCCTGTGAGGAGGGGCGAGGAGACGTGGACTCCCTCCCCCGCTCTGTGAAGGAGGAGGCGTCGCCGCTGAGGGAGTCCTCCGACGTGCTCTTCTGTAGGAAGAGGCAGGAGGAGGGGGCCGACTGCGCCCCCTGCTGGGCCAGCGGGTCCGTGATGGAGGTTGGGACGGAGTGGACCATCTGGATCCCCCCGATGGGGATCATCGGGTACGGAGAACGCACCTGAGGGAGATTAAACAATTACATTTTAGAGTTGAAGACGTGCGTAGTTTTTATTTTGACCCCCGCCAACAGTTTTACAATAGACCCCATATTTGAGGAGGGGCTCCATCTAAAAAAAAACGATCTAGTTTTGGTTTCATTCTCACCCAGATTTAAAATCAACAGTTTATAAACTATTTATAACACGGTAATAAACTATTAGACCAGAGGTACCAAAGAAATAAAAATTACCTGGAGTTGAGAATGGAGGGGGAGGTGACTGAAGAGAACCTGGTGGGGCAGACCGGACTGGTTCCCCCAACCTGAACCCTGGTCTCCTTCCCCGGGGTACAGAGAACCAGGATGATGTTCCTGACAGAAAATGAGATTTAATTAAACACGAGTTTGTTTCTCCCACCAGAACCTGAACTGTTCAATCAACAGTTACTGTTAGAGACGCTACAAGGTTAAAGCTTTAAAGGGATCCACGATTAGTTGTAACATTAAACTTTATTTGATAAACATTTATTTAACTGTAAAATGAAGACTAAAAATACTGTAGGCTGTTCAGTTTTGTAAATTTTTTAAAATATATTTTAACAYGGACGGAGCCATTTTATTTACACACAAAGCATTCTGGGTAAATGATGACGTGGATAGGTCCTCGGTGCGAGGCTGCTAGCGAGCTATATCCACCCTGAAGGTTAATCTTGGACAATATCTGATGATCGACTCTTTTAAATGAAACCAGAGAGCGTTGACAGAGAGGAGAAGGTAGAAATGACTCAGCCTGGAACTGAAAATATGGATGGAGGACAACAGAGCTGCTTCAGCCTGTTAGCCTTCTCGCTATCCCTCAGGCTATATTTCCTTATGTGTATTACCTTGGTGCTAGCGGGACAAACAAGCTAAACTGAGGTCCTCCATCCATATTTTCAGTTACAGCTGAGTCATTTTTGTGTTCCCCTCTCTGTCATGTGGATGGAGGACCTCAGTGATGAGAGGAGAATATGTAGTGCTGAGCTAATACATATATATGGTGATAGCATCGGGGCTAACGCTAAAGCTAACAGGCTAAGCTGAGGTTCTTCTTCCATGAAGCAGCTCTGTTGTCCTCCATCCATATTTTCAGTTCCAGGCTGAGTCATTTCTACCTTCTCCTCTCTGTCAACGCTCTCTGGTTTCATTTAAAAGAGTCGATCATCAGATATTGTCCAAGATTAACCTTCAGGGTGGATATAGCTCGCTAGCAGCCTCGCAGTGAGGACTATCCACGTCATCATTTACCCAGAATGCTTTGTGTGTAAATAAAATGGCCCTGTCCGTGTTAAAATATATTTTTAAACTTTTAGTTTAAAAATTATAAAAACTGAACATCCTACAGTATTTTTACAGTCTTTATTTTACAGTTAAAGTATATGTTTATCATATAAAGTCTAATGTCACAAATAATCGAGGATCCCTTTAAATAAATTCCTGAAAAAAAAAAAACCTCTGCCTCGCGTTTGGTTGAAGTGGAAGCAGCTGCAGAAGCTGAGATTTAAAGTTTTGCGAAGAAAAACAGTCATGTTTTTAACCACATCAATTTATTTAGAAAATAAAACGAAACTTCATAAAATAAAAGTAAATACAAATGTGACCCATCACATCGAAACAAGGACTAAGTCCAAAAGTGGAATGTGGAGAGCAGGCAGATACAGGGTTTCAATTTAAACTTGTGTAAAAATTGCCTTATCAACGTATCAGTTCATTGAACTGTCTGAAATATAATCCTAAAAAATTTTTGAAGCATTTTTTTCCTGAGCAGTAGCAACAAAAAACATGATTTTGAGGAAAAAACGCCTTAAATTTTAAAATTTTTCCCTGTGAGCTACAGAAATGCTTTTGTTTCTTTCCAACTGGGAAATCGTAATATACAAATACTATTTGAGGTTTCCTCTTTATACTGACATAAAAACAACTGAATAAATTTACATAAAATTATGATTCAGACCAAACAGCAATGTATCATCCTAACCAACAAGCCATATCTCTGTATAAACTTATGATATCAGAATGATCCAGGTATCAAAAAGCAGCTTTTCAAGCCAGGAGTTTGAAAATGTAACGAGGTTATTTTGACCAAATTTGACTTAATCCTCATTTTGATATGATGGCTCACAAATAAGAGCATCAGATTAAAAAAAAACCTGATCAGAATTTTACCGTTTCCATTTCTGCACCGGTGCTGCATCGTCCCAGAGTGAAGTCCAACCCCCCCTGATGCCCCGTCCTGGAACCTCGAGCTCCACTTTGCTGGCTGAAACACAGAGGAGCAAGAAGAACGTTAGCTGACGGCTGGAAGTCAGAACAAACTGGTTTGAGTTTCAGGGGGTTAGGAGAAAAACGGGCAGATTTTTGCATCTTTTATTGTGAAATTCAGATGAAATTTAAAATCATAACTCATAACTGTTGGCAACAAACCTTGACTCTGCTGATTTTATTGATTTTATTACAAATAGGTTTTTGATAGAGGACGCATATTTGATTATTTTTATCATCGATGAAACAAAAATACTAAATATTTCAATAAAAACAGTAAATGTATTATTTTTTGGGGCCTCACCTCTGCTGGTGGAGGTGCTGCTGGAGGCCTCGACGAGGAGACAACGCCCGGATTATCCCCCTGGGGCGTCCTCGAGGTGAAAGGTCACGCTTGTAGTCCCGCCCTCCTGGAGAGGTGGGCCGGGAGAGGGGGGAAAGCACGGACAGGTGTCTCCGTCTCGGGGACAGGTCTCTCCGGTACCCTCCCAGGTCCCTCTTAGGGGAGACGTGGCGCAGGGGTGAGATGTCCCGCTGGGGGGAGAGGTGTCCTGCGTGGGGGGAGAGGTAACGGCGAGCCGAGGGGGAGGATGAGGGGGAGATGGGGGACGGGCAACCGGAGTGGTCCAGCCCAGGTGAGGAGAGGCGGGAGGACGGGGAGGATGGATCCGGGGATGGGACGGGGAGCTCCTCATCCATGGAGGAGGAGGAGGAGGGCGGGACCTGCAGCATGCTCCGCCCCTGACCCCGCTGGTACTCTACCAGACCATGCTCCCTCCCCAAGGGGTCGGTGGGCGAAGCCTGCGGGGTGATCTGGATGCTGGGCACGGTGGTGAAGTAACCAAACAGAGGGGGCTTGTTGGAGTGGCCCAGGAGGTCCGACGCAGTCTGATGGGAAAGTAGAGGGCCGGAGTGGGAGGCGGCCACGGCCGTGATGGACATGGCGGGCAGGCTGTACGGCTGCGGGCTGGTGGAGCGCGAGCGCGTCTTTGGGGTGGAGTCGCCATCGTAGTCGTCGTCCTCGTCGTCCTCGTCGTCCACCTCGTCGTCCTCACCGCCGTCGGACTCGTCGGCGTCAGAGAACTGGTGCTCGGCGGAGGGGACTCTGGACATCTTCTCAGACGATCTGTGGCCTTCGTCTTCTGCAGACACAAAGAAAAGGTTTCAGTTTTCAATTAGAAAAAGGATGCAGAGCGAGGGAGAAATGCCAAATACATGTGGTGAAACGGTTTAGACGTTAACTAACACTCTAAACTCATTCCCAGCAGCTCCAACCAATAAAACACAAAACAATAACATTTATGAGACACAAAAAAAACAAAAACTTGAGTTTTTCCACTGGAGCCAAACGCTGGCGGTGTTTGGTTGTAAAGGAGCAGCACAGTTAGTGAAAAATGAACTCAGTGTTCTTTGGTTTAAGCAGAAAGACTCATCTGTCATGGAAAATATGTAAAAATACCTTTAAAAGGTTTTATTTGGAGTTCATCGATTGGATTTAGAGAAACAGATCTGCTGACACATGATTAGTTTTCCAGTTAGAGTCTTAAATAAATCAAACCACCAATGTTTACGTCTCAGTGACTCTGACTGAACGTCTGAAGCCCCCCACCCCACCAGTGCATGTGTGGGATCATGTCCCCATTAAACGTGGAGCCAAAGCACGCAGCGGGGGTCAGATGAAATAAAGTTTCATTTGGTGGTCTGCATGGTGGGAAATCACAACAAGCTTCMAGTCCTGCGCTGATTAAACGCAGCGGTTCACCTGTCGGCAGGGAGAGAAAGTCCTTGGCAACATTTTAACCCGTTAAGCTGGTGCCGTTAAAAACAAACAACTGAAATTTGATTATAAAATGTGAAAAAGCAGAAAAACACGAGCGACTTAAAACAAACACACAGATTTCTGTTTTTAAGAACTGCTCAGTCCATGAACTATACAACCCTGCTTTAAATTTCTTTTCCCAACCTGTTGTTTTATTTCTACACTCGACTGCAGAAGAAATGCACAGGATGTAAAAATAATCTCACTAATTTCCAGCTTCATTATCAAGTCATTTGAAGATTAACGGGACCCCGAACACCAGCGAACTAATCTGAAACTGACAAAGCCTGGGGGGACAGCGGATGAAAATATATTATTTGTTAATAATTGATGAAGATCATTTTCATCTTTCTCAGAGAAATGATGTGGCTGAAAACTTAGCTAATGTTTACTGGTCTACAGACAGGTTTTATTTTACTTTCTTTTTAATGTGTTTGATGTGATTTCCGACTATCTCTGCAGGATTTTACTGCAGCTCCTGGTTTGTGTGTTTCATGTAGAGTTTGGTGGAGTTCAAATTCAGGAGTTGCAACCTTCAAAGGGTCCGTAAAGACTGGAAGAAAGTGRACGTAAAGAATAGGGATAGAAAATTCACGATTTGTTTCTATACTTTAGTCTCACGGTTTGATATATTTTAATACAAAAAAGAGAAGAGTCCATACTCTTCTTAACTTGTAATTTATTAAAAATAACTATAAACATTTGTTTAATCAGAAGTACATTTTTTAATTAAACGTTSCTGAAACAGCAAGTTTCTCAGCCTAGGTTGTGTAGTCGAACACAGATCCACTGATCCTTCAACACAGAGCATCTTCAGAAGACAAGTTGATAAAATAACTGTTAAAAATCTGTACTGATCCATACATAGTGTGTATTGTTCCATACATAGTGGGTATTGTTCCATACAGTGTGTATTGATCCATACATAGTGTGTATTGATCCATACATAGTGTGTATTATTTCATACATAGTGTGTATTGTTCCATACATAGTGTGTATTGTTCCATACATAGTGTGTATTGTTCCATATGGTGTGTATTCAGCCATACATAGTGTGTATTTTTCCATACATAGTGTGTATTGTTCCATACATAGTGTGTACTGATCCATACGTAGTGTGTATTGTTCCATACAGTGTGTGTATTGTTCCATACATCATGTGTATTGTTCAATACAGTGTGTATTGATCCATACACAGTGTGTATTGTTCCATACGTAGTGTATTGTTCCATACATAGTGTGTATTGATCCATACATAGTGTGTATTGTTCCATACATAGTGTGTATTGTTCCATACATAGTGTGTATTGTTCCATACATAGTGTGTATTGTTCCATACATAGTGTGTATTGTTCCATACATAGTGTGTATTGTTCCATACAAAGTGTGTATTTTTCCATACAAAGTGTGTATTGTTCCATACGTAGTGTGTATTGTTCCATACGTAGTGTGT